AAGCTATAAGGTAAAAAGCTAAATTGGAAGGATAGATGGTGTGCTTGAGTCTTTCCTCCTCCTCTATGGACCCCAATGTTTCCAAGGACATAATCAGGCTTTTGTAGTTTGATAGATTGATGTAATATGTGGGGTGAAATTAGGGTGTGATTGCCTCCAAGAGGTTGGCTGCGTTGGTAAGGGTGTAGGACTTGGGGTCCCAGGTCCCAAGTTCAAGTCCCCTCTGCCGCGTAGCCTTATCATACTCTTGACTTACATGGAGGCTAGTTTGTGGGGCCAGATTAGCTTTCCTCCGGTTGGTACCTGGCCGGTCGGACCCTTGTAGTGCGGCTGGTACGGGAGTCCGGATTATAAAAAAAAAAAGAGAGGCTGAGCCATATTTTTCTGCTAGCTCCCCCGTACCTTCCAGCATGTGTTGCACACTACATGAAGATATTTTTCTGCTAGCTCCCCCGTACCTTCCAGCATGTGTTGCACACTACATGAAGATATTAAGATCTCGAAAAATGCCGATTCACGGGAATTGATATTGTTAAGTCGTGTGGTATTGGTAGACTCCTATCATGTCCTTGGAGTGAAACATTTTGCTTAGGGCATGAATGAAAATCATTCTCTTTCCCAGTCCAATTTCAGGCTAGAAATATCTATTTCTATTCTCTGGACGAGTTTCTGAGCAGAATGTAGTGTTTGAGAATGATACTAAATTTCTGTTCCTAGAATAGAAATTCGTTTGATAGGTTATTCTTAAATTTTTGTTCTCGACGGTGGCAGGAGACAAGTGGCGAGGACGAGCGATAAGAAAGGTTTTCATTAAAAGTAAAAAAATCTACTTCTCATTTATGTTCCGTATCTATTTCTTGGCTAAAAATTTGCCCCTGAAATAAAACAATGAAGTGGCATTGCCAAATGGATTTTCGTTCCAACCTGTTTTTGAAAACAAAAAAATAAAAAAACATGAAAATATTATGATTATCATTCGCGCCTTTAATATATCGATTTCTTAATTTAGTTTTGTCGTACTCAACATAGCCCATAGATCTCTTTCGCCGTATATTAATATTATTTGAGTAAAACTGCCTCGGTCATCAAGGCTAACTAGTAATTATTTACCATGGTTTAATACTAAAAGAAACTAAGGACACACACATCGTGCCATGGAGACAAAAACAGGACCCGCTAATCGTGGTGAGGGCAAAGCGATTAATCTCGTCAAAAAGTCTAACCAAAAAATTTAAACTTTTTGAGTAGTCTACAGTGATTTCATAAAATCTCACATGGTATCATAATTAGAGGTCTCGAGTTTAAATTTCTCCGTGCCTCTATTCGCCTCCCCAATTCCTTGTTTCTAACAAATCTCGACTAACAAAAAATCCCAAAGCTCCAAAGTCCCATTGAAAGTTTCATCTCTGTATTTTCAGTGGGTGTGAAAGAGCCTTGATTGGTGATCTTTTTGGGGGGCCTAGTTAGTGGTCGGGGTCATTGTCTTGGATGCAATAGCCTTCGTTGGTTTTCCATTTTATTGTGGTAGCGCGACCATCTGTCATTGCACCAATACGTTCACGTAGTCTCTAGAACGGTAGAGCAGGAGCTAGACAGCGCCCTGGTGAAGAAGAGAAGAAGAAGAAAAAGCAGAAGACATCCTCAAGAGGCCATTGGCATACTATAAACCTTTTGTCACGATGTTAATTTAGTTATAAACTTTTCAATTTTGCCAATTCAATTCTAATTATTCTCGCGAAATTTTAATGTTTTTGTCTTCTAAACATTGGTATTTCGCGTAAAGATTTATGACTAAATTGACAAAATTAAAAAGTTTAAAACTAAATTAGCATCCGTATAATAAGACTCTATTCGTTTTGCGGAAAATGTAATATTTTTGGTTTTCCATGAAGTTATTTTTTAGAAAAATGACAATATTTTTTTGTGTTTAGCGGAAACTTGAAAATGAGCTAGAAAATATTTTCCGTTGTTTGACATGGAAAATCTAATTTGATTTTCTCATTATAATTATTTTTTTTATTTTATTTTATTCTTTTCTTTTTCCTTCAATTTTTGCCAGTCGCCGGCCACATGCGAGGTGGAGCTTTGGGCAAGGTCGAGCTCGCTAGAGGTCGACGAGCTCAAGACCGGATCCAGTGAGGTATAGCTCGCTCGACGCTGGTGACCTCGAGAGTCACCTGATTCCGACGAGTCTTAAGCTCGTCGGCAAGCTTGAGACTTGCCTGTGGCCAGTCACTGGCCGTCGCCGTGGCTAGCGACCGATTGAGGAAGAAGCAAAAAGAAAAAGACAGAAAAGAAAAAAGAAAAATAATTAAAATTTTGATTTTTTTAAAAAATAATTAAAAATTCGATTTTTTTAAAAACATATTTTTTTAAGAACGAATGTTTCATTAAACAAGGATCCAAGCTCAAACGCCAAGGACTCGCGCACGACCTTTTTGGACCCAAGCCTAGCCTTTATGGATGCGGGCTTGGATGTTAGGGCATAGGGCACGGGCACCAAGGGTTTGGGCATGGCCTCGATGGACCCAAGCAAGGGCGTTGGGGCTCAGGCCTAGGCACCGGTGTCCTGTGCCTGGCCTCGATGGACCCAGGTTCAGCCTCGATGAACTCGTGCCCAGGCGTTAGAGACCTAGTCCCGACCTTAGTGGACCCGGGCTCGGCCTTGATAAACCTGGCTCGGGTGTTGGAGACTCAAGAATTAGTGTTGGGGTTCTTGTGTTTAAACATAAAGTTTCGGATCCAAACACCAATACTTAGTCATATTTTGAAAAATATTTTATGACTTTTTCAAAGAGGAAGTCGTTTTCTTGAATTTAAGCATAGGTTTTCCATCGATTAGGAAAACGTTTTTCGTTAACTCATTTTTCTAAGCGAACCGAATACCGAAAAATAAGAAAAATATTTTTCGCAAAATGAACAGAACCTGAGTTTATGAACGAGTGAACGATTGAACAATTTTTCCCTTGTTAAGTTCCTAACAAAGGTCAATATAAGCTCAAAAAGAATCATCCTTGAGTTTGGAACTTGGACCCATACGTGGGCAAAGATGAACCTTTCCTTTTCCATTCCGGCGTAATGGTCGGCGAGATCTTTTCTTTGTCATTTCCTAATTTGTTTAAGGGGTCTTGGGTTGGCCTGCTGGGAGCCAATTCAATGTTGTCACAAACCACAGCTTAATGCACCGCTTTTCTTTAAGATACAAAGCAAGAAAACCGGTGGCAATCAAGGCCGGAAACGACACTTTCCCCCTTCCCAAGTCAACGGTCCACACGCACCCACCAAGAAAGTCCAATATGTCATACCAACATGTAATGTAGCTCAAAGGGTTATTTTCCTAGGAAAACCAGGGTCTTAAAAGATGAACGTATACCAGTTTTCCATCAGACTTTCTGTGTGTGCTCGGATGCCCTGTTTGACCCTGCACCAGGTTTTACCATCATGAACAATGTTGACACCCGCGTTTTGATGGTGGAGCTCGAAATTTTTGACTGGAAATTTTGTTGGCCCATATGGTAAATGGCAGATCAAGACGCAACTTTAAGGTTTGATCAACATCGACGTGACCCGGCTGCTCAGATTAGGGTGCATAAGTTGCAGGACCCTGAAATCTACCATATAAGCATTGATTCCAAACTTTTAGAATCTCAAACTTACTCTGTATTGATTCAAAACCACCCAGAACCCGTCAGCTTCGCACGTTTTAAGGTACACCGTACTAATCTATACTTTTTTACAATTTTTTTGTCAAATTATGATGCCGCAATTTTAAATATTAATAAAATGAATTTTCACACGTAAACACACGGGTGCCTTGATAATAGGGTAACATGTTCACGTGTAAATGGTAACATCAATCTCAGACATAATAGCACCAAAAGTAAAATAAGAAAAATAGATACCTTTCTTCCTATCATTCATACATAAAGAAAATAGAAGATAACAATTAGTTGAAAATAGATGATCATAGAAAATGCGAAATATTTGATAGGACCCATTTCAGGAACGTGAAATGGTGGAGAATTTCAAATATTATAACTCAAGTACGCCATGAATTTGAAATAAGACCGAGGAAAGTCAATATATTCCTGCAATTCTGGTCAGAATCGTAGTTCCTAGCAAAGGTCAATCAAAACCCAAAAAGAGTCATCCTTGACTTTGAACTTGGTCCCTTTCGTGGGTACAGATGAACCTTTCTTTCGACATTTTGACGTTAACTTCACCAAAAGAAATAATAATCGCCCAATACTAAACTCGAGCATGATCAAGCTTTGAATTCATGATAACTCAATAAACTCAAAATTAATTTCACCCGGAAAATATGATCGCCGAATACTCGACCTCGGCTCACGTATATAAACTCATTCGAAAGGTTAGAAGAAATCTATTCTGTTCATTGTGATTGATTCAATCTGTATGTCATTGTTGCGTATTGAAAAGAGATGGCATAGGGAAAATGTCATCGGCTTCATCTGACTTTCTCTGTACTTAGTTGCCCAGTATGACCCTTCACCACGTTTACCATCATGAACAGTGTTGACCCCCAACATTCCGTCGAGCTCGAAATTTTTGACTGGAAATTTTAGTGCAGAACATTTTAAGATTAGTGAGGTACCTTTAAGTTTGATCAACATCAATGCGACCCGATTAATTAACCATGCGGTACATCAGGATCCCCGCGAACACGCTTTACGGTAAAAGTTTTTTCTGGCACGGTTTTGGTTGCGCGGTATATATCGTCCTTGAATTAGCAGCGTGGTCTCAGCCTCTCAGCATCAAACTTCTTTGGAGAGGAACATGGTGTTGTTCTCCATAAAGTGCTATCGACAAATGTGAAGATCAAAATTAGGAAGGAGAAAAATCACGCTTAACTTGTTCTTGCGAATCGCGGCCAACCTGTGATAATGCAGAATAGCAAGCATTTACTGTGTTATTAGCTTCAGCTTCAACATCCACTATCTTAAGATGGACATTTTGGTTGAAACAAATTTTATTTCGTGCCACGGGCGTAGTACTTTCGCGGCCTCCATCTCGCTCTTGCCCTTCTCCAAGCAAATAAGAGTCTAGACAAGGTAGAATTCGCATGCCAAATAGCGATCAGAAGCAATGTAAAACCATCAACATGTGTCCGTTGGAATGATAGGGGATATCAGAAAGCACATGATTGGTAGTGCTGCTCTCACTTTGAAGTACCGAGTTCTGATTGCTAAGTCTTGAGAAGCCACGGCATGAACTTTGCTGGATAGGGGTCTGTTCGAAACATTTCGCGGGTTTGCATGACATAACTTCCTGTAGAAACTTGCGAGGATGTATGTTTATGGCCACAGCGAATCAGCTATACAAGTCAATCCTCACGACATTCAGATCTGCCCTTTGATTGGTACAGTTTAACATAGCACCATCTCAAGCCGGGTGACACTGCTAATCTACCATAAGCACCTGGCGATCGGCCGTGTCATGATACTGGCAGTCCTTGGGCTTCCCAGCAACACTTCCTCTCTTTCAATCGCCATCTTCATGATCTCCTCGTCATAATTTGGTTATCTTGTGATCAAACTTTTGGCAAGCTTGTACCGAGTGGTGAAGGGGATGATTGAGGAAGCACTCTTGCCCTCTTTGAATCTAGACAAGCCACTCGTCTTCTGCCACTTCTCCTTCTCTTTCTATGACTATCAACTGTTACACGTCTACAGTACGAAATTAGAAAGGAACGAACTTCACCAGAAGCAACTTAAACCCTGTACACATTTGGGCAATTCAGGGCAAAGTAAGGTAAAGTTCAAGAACATTGATTCTTGAAGGCTCAGCATTAATCAGGTCATGATGATATAGAGCCCATCTTAGTTTTTCTTTCCCTCAGAATAATCAGATTAGTTAATGCGATTGTTGGAGATGGATCCAGAGCCTCCAACTATACTTTGGCCATTACTTTAGCTACCATTGGCATAAGAGCACGTTCTGGTACTACGTATGATCAAACACAAATGCAAGTTTGTCTCAGTTCATCACGTTGTGCCGCAAAAGGTTACTGCATGAATCTAATTCTTATGAGCACGAGACATTACAATTTAGGACTTATGGATCATGTTGGTTCCGATGTATTATTGGCCTCACACGAAGCAGATTCATGCACTAAGACTTTTTGCGGGATATCTCAATTCAAAAAAACTCCCGTTTTCGTACAAGTGATATATCTCAAATGATAGATATCCTGTAGTTAAGCAAATAGTTGTTCTTTATAATCACATAATAAGCGTACTTATGAGTTCAGTCAAATCATTAAGCTACTGGAGCAACAAATCTTCAGAAACAATGAGATCATGCAATGGAGAAAATTGGCAAAAATGAAGAGAGCTGTTTATTTACCTTGCATTTCATTAAATTCTTTGAGAGCAACTCCTGAAAACAAGCATTTAACTACACATAACTTCCCACCAACCATGAAAAGGTGTTGATTTTTTCTTGAAAATTGGATTGCTTTCAGAAAGTGGAGCCTTTACCTTTAGCCAGCAATACAAACTTTTGCTCTATAGGCTTTGTACATTCATGTAAGCTTTATATAGTCCCAGGAATGAATGTCCCCCCTGAGAAGAAGTATCCAAGATGTGCAACTGCAGATGGACTGATAAAATGGACTGTGCAGTCAAGTTTCTGAAAGTTCTCGGAAGCTGATTAATTGAGTATATTTCAGTTGTTTGTGATATAACTTTGGTGGTTATGGGCAGGATGAGTTTGTAAACACTTAAAAGACACAGGAAAATCTTCCCTTATTCAAGTAAGGGAAAATGAACAGAGACTTGTTCCATTTAAAATACATATTCTCCAATTGCCACAAGAAGTCGGGTTCGCCGAAAAACTCGTTTTTTTAATCCTTGTCTATCGAATTGGTCCTTGTTCGTGCATTGAATTTAGCTAGATACAATCTATTGACAGCATCAATCATACTCGACCGCAAATTCATGTCGATCGTGCCACATGAAAACTTCTAGTTTACAACAGTATATCTGGTTATTCCTTAAGTAAAACAGATGGTCCTGCTCAGTTACCATGTTTAATAAGCATACTGCCATTCTTCTTTAGCAAGGCCCACATGGCTTCTATGACCAGTTACAATGATAAGTTGCTTAAGCTACTCAAAAACACTTAGGTGGTGCTTTGCGGAATATGAGAGATAGGAAAAGCATTTTACCTCTGATGAGTCAAGGCTTTAAAGCAATTCTTTGTTCTAATCCCACTTGATAGCAAAATTTATGCCATCTGAACCAGTTTTCATCTACCAGATTGACTTGTCTGTAATCTCCAATTCCAGGATACATCACACCATCCAGGTCTAGGCTCGAGGCTGTGAAAGGAGCTCCGCTTCATCAAACCTGAAACCCGATACTTCTTGAAGCGCGAAGCCGCAATCGCGCCACAACAGTAGGATCATCATTCGAAAGCAGTTCATCGGACAAAAACTTGACAGTGCACCAACCATGGGTCCAAAATTGTTGACTTTTTTTGCATGGAATCTACCTTTCTTTCCTCGTCAAATGGGATTTTATTTTGGGAAGTGGAGCCAGGAACAAGCAATAGGGTACTTTTGTTTTGCTTTGTTTGGCTCTGCATACTCATGAAAAAGCATATGCTTATGCGCATGATTGCTTTGAGTGAATTTATAGTCCCTCCTGCCACTGCAAATCACATTTTACCCCCCAAGTTTTTCGCATTGTTGCAAATTGCCTCATGAATTTTTGTAATTTACCCCCGGAATTATAATCTAATTGCACCATGTCCCATGGCATTGACTCCGGCCAAATTTTGTTTGGAGTTTCGACCGTGTGACTAATTAGAGAGGGTAAATTTATTATAGAAGTATACACCTTAAAATAGTAAAAGAATATTTTAAAAATATTTTATATGCGAGAACATGTGACTAAAGTTCCGACGAGAATTTGACTAGAGTCAACGCTAAATGCACATTGATATATCTGAATATATTTTTGAGTAGTCCATACATATTTTTTAACATATGTAACTGATATATGACCAATTTACCTTCCATAACTAATCACATGTGATTAGATACGTGAGAAAAATTTTGGCCGGAGTCAACGTCATTTTCAAAAAGTCAAGGGCAGATTGCAAAATTTAAATGTCAAAGGGCTAACTTGCCATAATTCCGAAATGGGCTCTCTAAAGTTCTCATAAGTTCATCCGAGAGTTGCAGAGTCTAGATCCCATGCAAACAGAGCTCTCTAAAGTTCTCATAAGCTCAACAAAAGCCTTCTGTTTCTGATTTTTCAATGATTTGTCTGGGTGATTTGCAGTATTTGCATGCTGAAGAATAATACATCCCCCCAACTAAATTGGGTGGGCAAAAGCAATTCTCATCCCCATCAACATCTCATTCTCAACTATTCATAATGAACATGATAATGCCAGGCCGAGTCATCATTAGGAAAAGAAAAAGAGAAGCAGTGGGAAGAGGACCACCTTAAAAGACTAACCGAATGATTATGATGTACAAAACGCTAGAGGGGTCTCACCCCAAGTGAATTGAGAGATAATTTTGCAGCTTCAAAGTTGAAGAAAACAAGATGGGAGATGTCTAATTTGTGCACCGCTTCTTCCTTCACTCGCATAAAGAATCAACTGTCTGGCTCGAGTTTGCAAATTGAGAAAACTATAGTCCAGCACGTAATGCGATTAGGAGAACGGAGGAGAGATAGAAGAACATTCAGATGAACCCGACTCAATTTTTTCACAAAAGAACTACTACAAAATGATGTGCAGGTTCTAAATTCTACTCGTTTGAACCGCCTTTCCGATGCAAATCCTCCCTTTATTGCTTAAAGTGACACATCCTACAACCAGAAATAGATTACACAAACTGAATTTTACCAGTCTCAAACTCGAAACACAAGCAACATCGGTGCAAATAAAGCTGGAGAGAACAAAAACTCTTCTTCTAACTACCAATCTTTCCGGATATCGAAGGTGTAGTTGATCTCCAAGTAGCACTTGTTGTCATCGTCAACAAACTGGAGAGGAAAGAAAGAGGAAAGTTGACAAGGAAAACAAAGATAAAACTTTATCAGATTTCAAATCAGAAAATTTTAAAAAAAGACAAGGAGGCCCACACATTTGAAATTCGATGCTGCTTATTATGCAAAAGCAGATGGCGCAACACCATCATCTGCTTATATTATTTACACTAACTTGACCAGACAATCCGTCCAAATCCAGAAGGAAAGCGACAAAAATATAGGGAAGTTTTCAAATTCTCTACCTGCTGAAGTAAAGTTCAGTTCTTATACAATCTGGATTAGTGCAAGTTTTTGCTGAAGACTCTACCATGAAAGATTTCGTAGGGTCCCCACATTTCAGAAGCAACAACTAAAATGCATCCACATGTTTTGAAAATGAGGATCGAGTGACAAATACCTAAATAAAGCCTCTACATAATGGCTGATTATTCCTTTTGCAGTGAGGCATCAAAGGGAGAAAAGAAAGGCCAGAGCACACTTATCAGGCCAAACTAACCTTGCTCCGAGCCGAGTATGATCCTCTAGCGAAAATTCCAGACGGTGTTGTCTCTTCGGGCATCTCATGTGTGTAAGGCTCTGACTGTGGACTGAATGTTCCAAGCATCTCCTTTGTGCTGTCCACTGCAAAAACAAGACAGAAAGAAAGAAATCTATTTAAAGAGAACGGTTTCGAGTATTAAAAAGAAAAAGAGGGCAATGGAAATTGGAAAAGCGTAATTACCTCTGACACCGGTCTTCCATACAGTATTAGTGTACTTGAGACCGGAGACAATGTTGTTGGTGACCTGAAATGTGAATTTGAGGCTATAGCGACTACCTTCTTTCAACGTAAACCACAAGCCTTTCGGCTTTCCATTCTCCGGAACCGAAAGGACTATGTCAGATCTCCCAGGAGATACAATTGCAAGGTTCAGGATCTTGACATCCGGTTCCAGAGTTTCTACATTGCATACAAGAGAGGAAAAAGCAGCTTTATTTTTAGCGCATTGCGCACACAAATGTGCATGAAGCAATTGAACTTGATGGGGGGAAACCTAAGAACAAATTGCAGAAACTTGAATCTCAAGATTTAATATTAAAGTTTAACCGCGAATAGAAAACGGGCAAATTACTGCACTGTGGAAACCATTCAAGATGCACAAAGACCACAGAAGCATCAATATGAGGGACAAAACTATTTCGTAAATGGGGGACTAGGAAAGGGGAAATTTTTGGGAAGAAGTAGAGAAGAGAACCAAAAAAACTAAGAGAAATTGGGCTAATTATGTGGCATAGATGAGAATTTGAACGTTAAACAAAAGAAAGCTGCCTCAGGAATTACCTCCAACAGAATTCATATCCACACTTCCCAGGAGCTGTTCCTTCCATCTCCTCAAGCTCTCATCATCCTACACACAAGATAAAGGAAATCCGAAAGACCGAAATAATCATACCGACAAAGAATGCAGAGCATCCCACAATTCAAATAAAAAGGGGCAATATAGAAATGGAGAATGCAGATTGTCAAACCTTATCCTTCTCAAATTGTTCTTTGAGAGTGTACTGAGGACCCAACTCAATCTTCCTCCCTTCATCATCTTCCTCATCCTCAGTGGCACAAATGGAGCTCTCGCTTGCCGATCTGTGAATCTTCCCCTCGGGTTCCCCATCAGCATTCTCTTCAATCTTGGGCGTCTTTGCTCTGTCGTCCGCACCGACGTCGGCTTTCTCTCCGCTCTCATTGCTCTTCTTCTCATCACGCTCATGTCCCATGGTTGCGGAACTCGAGGTCGCTCCAACGGCCAAGGACATCAATTCAGCTCATCAACCGCAACAAGAAACACCAAATTTTTTTCCCCGTGGGCACGACCCGGCACCCTCCGTCACGCGCCTGACGATGCCTTTGAACTGGGGAGACAAAGATTCTCGAGCTTAAAGGAAACGCCAAGAGCAAGCCAAGGCTATGCCAGCCAGGGGGAGAATCCGCGGGAGGAGAGACAGGAAAGGACAGAAGCCCGATAAAAGATCAGGACGAAGATGAGATGAGAATGTAAAGGCACAGCAGACGGACCCGAGGATCGAAAGAGGGAATCCCAGAAAGGCAAAGATACCAACAATCAAGAAACGATCAAGAAGGACACCCACGACGAGGCACCACCTTGGCAAACGGCAAGAGAACGCACCAAGAACGGTACGTGGAGAGAGAGAGGGAGAGAGAGAGAGAGAGGGAGAGAGAGAGAAAGGGAGGTGGGTTTGTTGAGGAGGAGAAGTTCAGGAACTGGTCATGTGGTGATCCGGAAAGGTGAAACAAGAAGAAGAGAACAGAGAGAGAGAGAGAGAGAGAGATAAGGGGAGATCGAGAAGGTGAGTTTGGGCAGGCACTAGGTTCCACGAAGACCAAAATACGAGGGGGGGAAGTTTGTTGTTTTTTTTTTTTCCGAACAGTTCGACACACACGAATCCACGCGTAAGGGGGGGGACAAGAAAAGGATCGCCCTTTGACCTCTTCCCTTCCCCCCTCGTATTGTTGGATTCTCTCGCCCCCGATCTGAACAATTGAATCCGAAATTACACACACAAGGTCTCTCTCTTTTTCTTTATGTTTTATTTTTCTCGGATAATGTTTCTTCCATGAATTTTTTTTTCCTCTTTTTTTTTTTCCTCATAGGTGAGGACGGAAAAATTTTATAGCGTGAGATCGAGCTATAAAGTACGGGATAGTGATACAAGCAGTCCATGAATTTTGGCCGAATATGTAACGCGGTTTCTGAAATTTAAAATGTGATTCTGAACTTTAGCATGATGTTCAATGTTGGTTCCTGAAATTTGAATTTGCTCGATGTGGTTCTTGGACTTTTGGTACGTATTCAATATAGTCCTTCAACTATATGGAATATTCGATGTACATGTCCAATATGTAATGTGGTTAATGAAATTTTAATTGTAGTTCTGAACTTTAGCTTAATGTTCAATATGGTCCCTGACCTTTGAATTTGTCCTATGTGGTCCTCGGACTATTGGTACGTATTCAATGTAATCCATGAACTATATGAAATGTTCAATATTATCATACCATTAATTCAAGATTAGGGACAAGTTTGAACATTTTTGTATAGCGTAGGGATTAAATTAAACATGTACCAAAAGTTCAGAAATCACATTGAATAAATTGAAAGTTCATGAACCACATAACATATTGTGCTAAAGTTCAGGGACCACATTACATATTGAGCCACAATTCAATGATCATTTGTGTCATTTTCCCAAAAAGTAAGAAACAAACAAAAAATGTTTTGCAAACAAAATTATGGAGTTATAAAACCATATAGTTGGACAGCGTTAGATTATTCTAGGGTATGTGTTGAAATATGCGTGGAAGAAAATAGAAAAATAAATTCAAGTGGATTGAGCAGAGCTTATTCAAAATGCAATAATTGACTTTAGGCACAAACTTCCAATCAAATACGTGGGTTCAATAATCTAAAATTCGCCGCCAATTTTCGTGAGGAATATTTATAGGAAGCGACGTAAAACTATGCTCTTAGCTCATTTATAAAAAAAAAAGAGTACTACAATTGCTATTTTATTTGGCTCAGTGTATATCAATTTAATTCACAATAAATACCATAATTTAATGCAGCTGTGATTCGAGTTAAGTAATAGGACCACAATACTGCTGTACATTCAGATGGGTCATGAAGGTTCGGAGGGGTCTCATTTGAATCGAACGCCATTCAAATTTTGATAGATCGATTTGAAGATCTACACAAAATTCAATGATTTAAAACATATTTTTCTAAAAAATGATTGGTTATATTATTTGAAATAATTAGCTGATAAAAGATGTTTTTATCATCGACAACAAATTTATGCTTAAACTTTTTTATGAACGATGAAAATACTTTTCGTTCATCACATTTTTGTAAGCGATACAAGCGATCATATTTAGAAGAAATGTTTTCCAAAAAACATACCAAATTATAATTATAATTTATGTAAATTCAATCATTCGTAAAATTTAAGCCTTGCATGGAGGGCGTCAATAGATTGAAATTGTTAAACAATAATCCGTGACAATAATTAAATTTTGATAGATCGATTTGAAGATCTACCCAAAATTCAATGTTTTAAAGAATATTTTTCTAAAAAATGATTGGTTATATTATTTGAAATAATTAGCTGATAAAAGATGTTTTTATCATTGACAGCAAATTTATGCTTAAACTTTTCTACGAACGATGAAAATACTTTTCGTCATTTTTGTAAGCGATACAAGCGATCATATTTAGGAAAAATGTTTTCGAAAAAACATACCAAATTATAATTATAATTTATGTAAATTCAATCATTCGTAAAATTTAAGCCTTGCATGGAGGGAGTCAATAGATTGAAATTGTTAAACAATAATCCGTGACAATAAGTGAATCGTTTGCGAGAAATGCTATTTTCACTAAGTCTAGATGACAAAATTGGCATTCTATAGGGTGGGCGTGGTCCCCCGTTATCGAGCCTTGAAGGCGACCCACTTCTTCAACTTTCTTTTTACGGTCTTATCTTTTTGCGATCTGTCGCATCACTTGGTAGAAGAACACGATTTGAACTTTGAGCCAGCTTGCATGGGTTACCAATATGGATTCATCAGGCAACGTTTTATAAGCAGCTGATCTCGCACTGGTCACCATAAATAGGCACAGTCGCCACCTATGTCAAAACCGAAGGACAGATGCAACAATGTCACCTTAAATTGAACAACTCGTCACAGATAAAAACAGCTCGATGAACGCGACGTATGCAACCAAACGGGCATCCCTCGACGTCCCAAATAAGGTCCATGCTTTACGTGCAAATTGACTCGCGATGGCGACGGCATCTTCTAGTTCCGGTCACGGGTCCGTGCCGAAAGCGTGTGTGAGCAAACGCTTTCCACAGTAGATAGACATGGCCGTATTCACTGGTATGAACGAGGTTTCACTAGATTGAACATAGGACTAGAAGTGCAAATTCACTTGCGATGGCGACGGCATTATCTAGTTCCGGTCACGGGTCCGTGCCGAAAGCGTGTGAGAGAACACTTTCCGCAGTAGATAGACATGGCCATATTCACAGGTGTGAACGAGGTTCCCTAGATTGAACATAGGACTAGAAAAGGCCATATGCATTTTCAAGATTAGAGGACCATCTGCACGCTACTGGTGATTGAAGTTCATTAGATTGAACATGGGACTACAAAAATCAGTCTGCAACTCTGCGTGTAACATAAAGCGTGACTCACCGGGCCACAATGTGGGCGATACCTCCGCGAACTCGGGATCTAGTATGAGAGTCTCTTAGACAAATGTACGCGACTTGTTCCATGCATCAGCCATCTCAAGTTTCCATTCTTCTGCACACTACAGAAATTTTGTAGTTTCCGAGTAAATTATTGAGCTACAATGAACTTTGTCGTGACGCATGTCCAATGCGCTTGTCTCACGCGATAGTCCTCGCAAAATCACGTGACTATTCCACAATCATACCGGTTACCAGACTGGATAAAATGTCCATGAGTAGTATGCTACACAAGTTGAAATATAACATAATGATAGGAGAACGTGATTAAAAAGAGAATCCACAGAACAGATCAGTACTATGCCTCAGTAGAAACTAAATTTAGTATGAACTGGCCACGAATAAGAAGTAAGAGAAGCAATTGAAGACAGTTCATAAGGAATCGAGTACATCGAAAAGATTTGGATTCTCTTATCATGAAGCTCAAACAATCTGTGTTTGCTGAAACTAGAAAAATCAAGCACAGGAGACTTCTCTTAAAATTAGAAAGACTTGCCAAAACAAAAATCAAGCAATTCAATTAACAATTTGAGCTTGTACCCGAGTATTACTATTCGAGAAAGTAGTTGCACTACCATGTCCAGTGCGCAGGTATCCAGTGATTTCATGGTGAGAAGGAAGAATAACAGGTCTTCATCGAAGAAGCCTTTCAAGGAACATGCGAAACACCCTTCGGTTTCCCTCCACCAAATTCGAATCCAACACGAATTCGAGAAAAAGCTACACAGCAGCTTTTTTCCACAATTTGAGGCCTTTGGATAAGCAAATCTATGACAAAATTATGGTGGGGTGAGAGCCATAGCAAAGAATCACAAGATCATTCTTCGTACAAGATGAAAAGAAAATCAAGCACTTCCCCATTTTCTCAATACTTCTTCTTTAGCAGAGACACGTCTACTATTTTCTTTCTTTGGTAACGCATCAAAATCAGCGGGACCACTTGGGGATAATCTCAAGATCTTTGTAGTAACAAAAGTTAACGCATTTCTCGTTCCTCGCAACGCAAACAGCAGCGGATTCAAGACCATTGCAAGCATGACCTCTCCTTTTGCAATAAAGAGAAACTGTGAAGGTAAATAAGAATGTCTCAGAGAGAGAGGACGAGAGTAATAATTATTGCACTATGAACCGAATATTGAGAACTTGCACAAAAAGCTGCTTACCATGAGAATGATACCTAAAACAGCCAAACTAGTCTGCTTTGCTTCTTGCCAGAAATTATCACCATTGGACCAACCAAATCTTCTGCCCCATCCAAACCAACCACCTCCACCAGCATCACCACCTCCTCCCACCTCTTCTCTCCTCTTGATCTCTTTATCCCATTTCTCAAACTCACTCTTCTTTCCCCCGAGTGCACTTTCTAAAGCTTTTCTAGCTTGTTCCTGCAACCAGCAATATGGTAATGCGCCATTTTGTCAAATATGGCATAAAATAAGCTGGAAGAAACCAAAGTAAATCACTGCAAGGATGTGATCAACCGAAAGGAGGATGTCTTGAATATTTGGGGAGAGCCGAACACGGTATATAATCACGAAGAGATTTGCAAAGAACATGACAGCAGAATACAAGGCAGAGCAAATTGAAATCAAATTCTCACATTCATGGCTGTGTCAAATGCTTAATATGGAGCCAAATTCGACTTATTACAACATCTCAAGGAACAGGTTACCATCTGTTTTCAGTTCTGTTCTGATGCTTTTGGAAAACTTGGAGATAGTTCATTTTGGCTACTCATTCAATATCAAGCAAATCTATATAAGAATGGATTTATCTACTTACATGCACTCTGCAGGTACCAACTCAAGTTAAGATATCCTAAGCATATTTAGAATATGCAACAATCTTTGATGAGCAAGATGCTTACATGCTCATTCCCTACTAGTTCGGGCCAAAAAGAAAAAGCCTAATTATGGGATGTCTAGTGATTTCATCTCTGATTCAACCATTTAAATATGTGGATATGTATACAGGAGCAATACTAATATGGCCAGAGACAGGCTCCCCTACTGCGCGGGAGTTTTTACACTTTTCATCTACATTTCATTTATGCCTTTAACATCACAAAACTTTTGCACCCTCTAAGATTGGAGCTACTGGAGACACCAGGGAGCTGGCAATATCATTCTAACCTGCCTAGTGAGCTTTAGCACTATTAATCAGGACCAAAGTTCTCAGGAAGATATCAGACATGATTCAGGCTGCCTATCCCCGTCCTTTTTCAAGCAACAAAAGCACCCTAGAAAAACCAATAGCAATGTGGAGTTTCTCATCTCTCCATACCATCCAATATGGTCGCTAGTCATCCTCTTTGAACAAAAGATTGCCATTTGGCCACCAGAAATTGCTTCATGACTATCTTCTGTAGCCATGGTGACTGGCTTTAACCCATGTCCAATGCAATGGAAAGTAAACTTGATACTAGATAATGTGGAAGAACATAGATCACTCGGGCACCTATCTGGTAAATGGAGTAAATTCATCAAAGCACTACTCCTTTAATATTGATGAATAATTAATGCACTGTTGTAGCCCACCATTCCCAAGTCAACTGCTTCAACTTGAGTCTGCATGAGACGATGCTGACAGGTTTCAGCTAGGAGAATCAGGTAATTGGATGAACCAAATGTGCAGAGGCAAAATTCACATAAGATGTTTTTATTACTGTACTTAACAGATCCCGGGCTCCGAATCTGAAAAATTAGCCAGTTAAATCCCACGACCAATATATGTACATAAGATTATGCACATTGGATTACCATCATCTACTATAAGGGTTCATTTTGGATAATGTATCTTGAAGAATTCAACTCAGAAAGGCCACCAGAAGAATTTCTCACACCAATTAAACTCGTTTGAATGAATGTTATTGCTTGTCCACTGCTCCTAATCAGTTTTGGAATCGAAAACCCATACTTTGCTCGATCATATCGACAGGGAGAAAGTAGCCAACCCAACCAAGGCTCTGGTGAAACAAATTGACCACTAGGCACAACCACTCCACTAAGCTCACTCAGGCAAAGCAGCGAACACTTGGTGCCCATAAAACTACGTTAATTTCTCAGAATTGCAAAGCACAGCGATGAAGCAAGCAACAATTCGGGTCGACATATAACTCAAGTTCCCGAATTTGTCCGCCAAAATCAAGCTCGCTCAATCCAGAGCATACCCGTTTCGCTCGCGAAGCAACAAGCTCACCGTGCGCAATGAGAGAAGTGAGCAAAGGAGCTTCTTTTACCTCTCTGCGATTGTCGGAGAAGAGGCAGGAGAACCTGCCGTTGCACCTGAGGCTCCGCCGAAGCGAAGCCCAGCGACGGAGGTCGCGAGGCCGAGTAGGAGGCGCGTCGGGGCGAGCCGAGGCCGAGTTCGGCCGGGGTAGGGCTAACTTGAGCACCTGCGCCATTGGGTCTTGCTCCTCCTCCTCCTCCTCCTCTTCTTCTGCTTCTTCCGCTGCTGCTGCTGCTGCTTTCCTTCACTTCACCAATCTGATTTCGCAGTGAATGTTGCGCGATAGCCCAATACCCATTGATGGGTATCGTCGTCTTCTTCTTCTTTCTTCTTCTTCCTTCTTCTTCTTCTGCTGCTGCCGCTGCTTTCCTTCGCTTCACCAGTCGGATTTCGCAGAGAATGCTGCCCCGTTAGCCCAATATCCATTGATGGGCTTTCGTCTTTCGGTGCCCCCATGCGACAGAGTGGGCTCGGACATCCTCGTAAACGTGTTCTTGTCGTCATAAAATCCATGCACATTGCTGTTCTGCTCAACTGTTTTTGGTTCGTAGTGTTTGCGTTTGCGTTTGCACGGTCGCATGATCTCGTCCGAACGAACATGGTTGCGAGGATTTACATGATTCGAGCCGAGTTGATGTTGATGGCTTCACCGATTGACGGCTAGAGACGAGGTAGGCTTTGAATGAGTTTTTCTACTGGGCCATGTTTATCGGTGAATCGCTACATAGTGATTAAGGAATAGACTTGTATGTATTGATTTAGCGCCCGAGGTAGTTTCAATTCTACACGTTAGTAAATACAAATAATTCCATATTTTGTTCACATGTAAACATTCGAATTTTGGCAGGTGATTTACCTGGTTGATGAGATTAGCAAGGCTATACCATGAATGTGAGATCTAATTGCGTAACCTCGGTCTCCCGTCATAAGAGAAAATGCTCGATAAATCCTCTAACTTCCCTTAATCTAGCAGAGAACTAGTGGAATTGATATGGTAGAGATAATAAGCAAAGTGGAATTTAGCAACAATGTTCAAATTAGTCGGTAATACCATCTCGAATGCCCATCCTGTCCATTGCCAAATGTGATTGCCTGAGCTGAGATGACATATGTCAATTCTCGGTTTCTCTCTCTAACGAAAAGAGATGAAAAAAAAAAGAAAGGGGAACTTTTGTAAAGACCAGTGAACTGTCTGGCATTGTTTATAGAGTTGGCTAATCCAACCTACCAAAAAAAGTGAGAGCTTCACCAAACCAGGCCACCATCCATCCATTGCAATCACTAGAAAAAAAAGATGCTCATGCTTCAACAGGAAACTTGCTCGTTGCTTTTCTCCATGTCACAAATGATGACAAGTGGTACAATAAGAGCACCAATGAGAACTGAATCCGTACTTTTTAGGACAACAAACACTTGATAAAATATATGCCCCTAAGTAGATAAGTAGATTTTTGACAACACCCATTGAATTGTTATCTAAATTTAACTAAGTACAAAGGTGCGTTTGGTCGACCTGGATAAAAGTCGGGATAGGATATGTTTTATCATATCCTATGTTTGGTGGTGGTCGGGATAGGATAAGGTCGGATATAAACCGGATATAGCTAGATAAAAAAATCCGGGGAGGGTGGGATAGACCGGATAAATTTCTAATGCCTATTTTTCCATAAATCCTACGCTCCACTCGTCATCTTCATCCCCATACCTTGTGCGCTTTCACCAAAAAAATTTCTCGTTTTCCCTTCATTGACTCCTCCGGACCCATGAATAGAAAAAATAAAAATAAAAATTATCATATCCTACTTTAAATCCGTAGTCCACCAAACAGTGGACATGATATGAAGAAATCCCAGGATTTCTTATCCTATCCTATCAAATCCTATCCTGTTTAGAAATCCGAACGACCAAACGCAGCCAAAGGTCTTGTTTAAAATGAACAATTATAGGAGGAGGACCCTAGAAACGTTCTTGTTGACCTACCCAATTGGCTGCCCTATATCACAATCAAACCCAATTCTTTAATTGTCTTTTTTTTTTTGGTAACCCAGGGAACCCCACAGTACGGCCGAGGAGGGAGAACCCAGGGCGACACGTGCTAGTCACACACTGCGTCTGCACGCAGTTAAGTCGCTCTGCGGCGCCCGGATTCGAACACCCAACCTTTGCGAGAGGAAGAGTGCATTCCAGTAGCGCCATTTCAGGGCGGGTGGTGAAATTCTTTAATTGTCAATTTCTTCATAAGTGATAAAAAAAAAAAGATCCTATATCTTGTGATACTTTTTTAATCGAGACTATACGCGACAAAATTTGATCAGAATGGAAGTCCATGGATCTCATCAAATGAGATTTGTCCCAAATACGAGCTCTTCACAATCTCGCTCTATGTCTTTTCCTTTACCGTGTTGATGACGACGTCGATGCAGTCACATATTGTTTTACTTGAAATCTCATCCGATGCGACCCATATGAATTCGATTGCGAATAAAACCTGATACACTATCTGTATATTTCTTTAACTGAAATCTTCCATTTTCGGCACTCGCATAGACAGGCGACTCATCTTTCATCGGACAACTTAAACCGAAAGAGAAAGTTATTAATGGCCAAGGCATGATTGAAAAAGTTTCTTAAAGCATTGGATGATTTGGTAAGTCCCTCTAAACTCAATGACGATAGTGCACATTTTCAAATCGGTCCACAAAATGTAATTACTCTCTTAATTTTGGCCACAGAATTTGGTCAATCTTGACCTTCAAAGCTCTTCCTACCATGTCCATTCTCGTAGACTCTGCGTCGGTTGTATTTTAGGTATTGACATGGACTAAAGACAAAGAGAAAAAGGTACAAGAATATGGTCGGCAAGTGACCCACTTTTCAATGCAAAGACAGATTCACTCCTTCAGCTTTTCTTTTCTATCCCCCTTTTTTTTTTTTCATTTTTTTCTCCCTTTTTTTCCTTTTAATTTTATTTTTTTTATCTTCCTTTGGTAACTTTAATTTAAAGGGGGAGACAGCTGCAACCGATCATCCACGTTCATACCTACATGTTCCTAAGGTTAAAAGTGACATCACATTTCAACAAAGACAAGCAAAATTGAGTGACTTGACTAATATCTAAATGTCTCTTATTTCAAATTCGAATTTAAAGCCCTCTCATTTTGTGACAATTGAACTTGAGTTCCTAACATAGTTCAAATCTTTAAACATTCTTTCTTTTTGTCTCCATACAACAATAGAATTTATCTATTTTTAACTGCATAAAATAGACATGTGATGATAGCATATAAATCGACTCATTCAACAGACAAACTATGGGTATTAAAATTTGTTATCTTCAAATTTCATTTCGTTTTCGGTGAGAATTAAATTCGTGCCGTGGGGTTAAACGTCGTGAGAGAAAATGACATGCGGTTCTAATTTGTCGTCAAATGAGCAGAAAACAAACAGGAGAAAGTAAGGAATAAAAATCATAAGTTGGCAGTATTAGTTATAATGGGTAAACAAAGCATAGGACTGCACAAGTCAAGAAAATAGGAGGATTTGATTACGCTCAAATAAAACTTAGAGGACCAAGTTGCACAAATCCAGGAAAGAGGACTTGATTGCACAAAATAAACGTTAGAGGATCAAATTGCACAAACGTTGAAACATAGAGAACTAAATCTGTTCTTGATCCTAAGGCTGCATATGGTTGTCTGAATTCGGATTGTGATAATATAGGATAAGGTGAAATTATAAATCCTCCGAATCGTAGAAAATCTCGTCATTTATTTCAGGTAACCTTAAATAGGATTCAAAATTTTTGGTGGGAAACTTGATCTTCCACTCGGGTCGTCACTGAATTGCTCACTTAAGGACATGCAAAAGAGCCATCTTTCGCCGGTGTCGATTGATGCCAAAAACAAGAGTGCCCAAAACGAAATGCAAAAACTAAACAAAACCATGATACCCTTTTGTTCGTGCGATCCGAGTGTAGAGACCTCTCTCAAGATCTCCTCATCTGCCATGAGTCTCTACTTCGAGAAGCCTTCGGTAAAACTCCATGTAATGAATTCAGTCGCATCCGAAAAAGGTCTCATAAAAGCAATAACATCGCTGAAAAGCAATTTGCAAAAACCAAATTGGACCACCCAAGGTAGGAACACAAACCCGAATGGTAAAACTTACTCTCCCTTCAGTAAATAGCGACTTCAGGAAGAAGCAAAATGAAGCCATTATTCAGGAACTTTGAAATGTAGCGACTTGCAAATTGGCCCCGTGGTCAGAGGTGACGACAATCGTCATTAGGCTCCCGTTTACCGCCATCGATTGCCCGGGGATGACGATCGGCGATGGTCGGAGGCGACGAGAACTCGCGATAGTCGGAAGCGACAACAATTAGTTGCTGTGACGGTATTCTTCACGGCTGTAGCAGGCAAAGCAATATCCGGGATACGTTACTCCTTTACTCCATGGTTGGAAGATAACACAACATCTCTTAAGCCATTTTTTAATCAATCCGGGTCTATGTTATCGCTGTCCAAAATTTCTTACCCGACGTGCTAATTCGTTATTTTATTCGGGCCCAACCAAACGCAGCCTGAAGAGACTTTGTCCAAAAACGATAACCAAAAAAAAAAAAAATGAAAAAAACAAACAACATTAATAATGAGAAAGAAAGAAAGAAAGAGAAGAGAAGAGAAGAGATATAAACCGAAAAATGGGAGGACGCGCATGGGCATTTTCGTCATTCGAGGCTCTAAAGAGGGAGAGAGAGAGAGAGAGAGAGAGAGATAGAGATGGAAGAAGATAGAGATAGACAGACAGACACACCAGAGGAGAGAGACAGAGAGGGATAGAGAGAGAGAGAGAGAGAGAGAGAGAGAGAGAGAGAGAGAGAGGAAGAGAGGAGCAGCACAGGGAGAGAGAGAGAGAGAGAGAGAGAGAGACAGGGGGGAGTTCGTTAATTCCGTTAAGGTCAAGGGAGGGAGGGAGGGTTGGGTTTCCCCCCATTGTGATGAATGTGAACGCGGCGGGGGGGAGGAGGATGGTGACGGACCAGGAGATAGCGCGCGGGGTGGAGACGGTGCTCCGGCAGTCGGACCCCAACTCCGTCACCACCATCAACGGCGTCGTCCAGCAGCTGGAGGCCAAGCTCGGCCTCGACCTCTCCCACAAGGCCCCCTTCATCCGCGACCAGATCGCCCTCCTCCTCCGCTCCCACCCCCTCCACCCCCGCAAAGACCCTTTTGCCCCTCCCCACCACCACCCCCACCACCCCCACCAGCAGCAGCAGCAGCAGCAGCCGCAGCCGCAGCCCCCCTCCTCCTTCCTTCCCCAGCACCACCACCACCACCAGCAGCAGCCCCACCACCAGCAGCCGCAGCCCCAGCAGCAGCAGCACCAGCAGCAGCTCTTCCCCCCTTCCCATTTTGCCCTCCAGCCCCCGCAGGATCTCAATTTCCGCCCCGCTCATGCCCCGCCCCCGGCCCCGGCGCCACCCCGCATGGCTCAGCCGCAGCCGCAGCAGCAGCAGCAGGCGCTCCCTCCCCCGGCCGCCGCCGCCGCCGCGAAGGCCGCTCAGAGCGCGGCTCCCGCGGCCTCGGACAGCGCGAAAGAAAGGTTTTTTTTTTTTTTTTCTTCTTTCCTTCTTTCCTTTTGTTCCTCTTTTGTGCCGTGTTGTCTCTCCTTCGTCTTTAGGGTTTGTTCGGGGGACGTGCAATTTCTGCCGCTAGCGTGTGATTTGGGTTTTAGGGTTGCGGGATTGAGGTTTGATTGCTTTGATGAACTTTGGGCGTGTTAGGGTTTTGCCCCCGCTTTTCGCTTTCTCTTTTGTGTGCTGTGTTAATTGACAGTGATATGGGCTTGAATATGACCCATTTTTTTGGTGTGGGGGGCTTAGCTGAAGCGTGTGCTTGGAAATGATGCTGAGGGTTCTAGAGAAGGGATTGATGCACTGAGGCTGCACTGACACAGATTCGTGAAGCAAATTTTCCGGGGAGAGAGAGAAAATGGATTCTGGGGGTGTGTGGCTCAAACTGTTGATTGGGTTGCGGATTTTATGTTGTATGAGTAACCTAGTGAGTTGCAAAATCTTTTTTTTTTTTGTCTGCTCGGAGTGTTCTTGTGATAAGGTGGGGGAAAGCAACTATCTTTTTGAATATTCGCTTGACGCGAATCATGTGTCGGGATGTTTTACTTTTGTGGTGGGAGTCTGCTCGGATCCGTTCTTTCTGTAGGATGCGTCAACATGATTTTCTATCTCATGCTTGAAGTTCATTGCCTACGGCTTGAAAAAGTCTCTTTTCTTTTCGAGATTGGATCCTGGAGGCTCTTTCGCAATCTAGATTTTTGCCCGTGTCTGTCGTTGAAATTTGTCTGAGGGTGCCCTTGTTTGCCACATTTTCGATATATTTATCTATAGCGAGGTTTATTTAGTGAAGCGATATCTCTTTTCTCCCTCTTTTTTACTTGATTAACAATGCGACGATTCAGATGGTATGAGGATTCTGGGATGTTTCAACTTGAACTTGAGAACATGGCAATGTAATGATGTTTCTTTCCCATCTTGCTGCTAACTGGTTTCTAACAAGGTTTTTTTTTTTTCCAAGTGTTGAAGAGCATATTGACAATCCTCTTCGTTTGAATGTCTGGCTCCCTCTTGCACAATCATTATTCTTTTGTCATCCGATGTCATGGGTTGGATAGCAATGCAAATCTTACTAGGTTTTAGTGCATCAGTTGGTGTTTTTCTCTGCTGTTTGCTTCTAAATGTGCCACAACTTACGTGATGGTGGATGATCTTATTGCAGTGCTCCAGCTGGCGCAAAAAGAAGAGGTGGTGCAGGGGGTCTGAACAAAGTATGTGGGGTTTCGTCAGAGCTTCAGGCCGTCGTCGGCGAGCCAGCATTACCTCGGACCGAGGTGGGAAATTACTCTTCAACTAAAATGCTTCCGCGGTAGCCACAATTAAATATGCTGAAGAAATCTTCTTTGCTTTATCCAGATCGTGAAGCAGCTTTGGGCATACATAAGAAAGAATAACCTCCAAGATCCAAGTAACAAGAGAAAGATAATCTGTGACGATGCCCTGCGTTTGGTATTCGAAACAGATTGCACTGACATGTTCAAGATGAACAAGTTACTTTCTAAACACATTATTCCCCTTCAACCTACAAGTATGCAAAGTGTTCATAAAGTGATACTTACTCTTTTCCTAGTCCCTAAGATGGATTCTATTGAGCATTTTTTTCACATTGTAATGTCTTCAGAGGAGTCAGGTCAAGCGAAAAGATTGAAGGTCAGTGCTGAGTCCCGCAATATTGGTTCTCAACCTGGTCCATCTCCTGTAATAATATCTGAAGCGCTTGCCAAGTTTTTGGGAACTGGAGAAAGGGAAATGCTCCCGTCAGAAGCTCATGGACGTGTTTGGGAGTACATTAAGATCCATCAACTGGAGGTATGTAACTTCTAATCCTTATTTTTAGCTTTTCCATTGCTCGTAATTTTTGAATGTCTTTCGAAAGCAAATGGTACTTTCTTATGACATTCTACCATGTATCAGACTACCTTACTGTTTTTGTGGCGTATTTTCACAACTGTTTACCCATTTATGTGTGGTCAGGAAGTTCCTTGTCTTTGCTATTTCAACATGTAAGAATTGGTAGCTTTTAAGGAAAAGCCAGAACCGTAAATGTGTTGAATCTGGTTATAGTTGGTGTTCTGTTTCTTCTGAATTTTTGCTTTCTCTTATACAGGATCCTTTAAATCCCATGGGGATACATTGTGATGCCAGGCTTCGGGAGCTTCTTGGCTGTGAAGGCATATCTGCATTGGGAGTACCCGAGATGCTAGAACGCCATCACTTATTTAAGCGATCATGATAGTGCCAGCTGGTGAGCGTTCAAAGGTTCATTTTAAGCGATTGTTCCCTATTGTTCCACAGTTTTGGGAAAGAATTGTTTCATGGCAGTTGACATGTTGCATAAATTTGGTTAATTCTTTTCTCTCTGTATGTTAGCATCTGCAGTGAGCGAGAAATTTGGTTTATGACCTCCATATTCTTTGTTTTACTCGCAATGTCCCCTTGCAAAAATTATGCAAGCCCTAACTAACCAAAATATACTTGGAATGTGTTTGATCTATGAGTTATAATTCTTTGTGGAACTCATCTGTAGACTGGGTCGTTCCTCCAGCATAACTAAATTGACAAACGTCTAAGCATATGGTAGTATGTAGGTGGTTAATTCTATGGGTCTGCGACTGAAATAATTAAATTATTGATTGGTACCTTTCCTGATTTTTTTATAGTATTTCTCCTTGTATGACAGCGTGATAAATTTCCTCATTTTAGTATCGTTGTCAAATATATGTCGCAGCTCCTATGAAACCATAGAAATATCCAAAAAGTTGGTTTTCCTACATTTCTAAACCAATCGAACTAATGTGTACTTGAGGCGGATTTTATCCTTGATAAATAAATGATTTTACTCTGCTCTTTTCTTGGGGTTCAAGCAAAAAATGTTGCAGGTCTGACCAAGATAAGTATGTTCTTGCAGGTGCACTGAACCTTTACCACCTGCCTGCCTGGGATGGTAGAAATGTTAGTTGAGCAGCTTCTGTTTAAGTCCTCTCTTAGGTCTTTTGTGCATTAACAAGGTTAGGTCATCTGATGTTTCATATCTGATGTTTCATACTTTTGTCCTAGACCAGATGAAGATATGTAGCATGGGCTAATTGCAAGTAGTATCTGGTAGAAATGCTTTTGTTCTGATTTTAGGCTTACATGCCTCTGTTTTATTGCTAATTTTCATTCTGATTTCCTGATCTTAAATCTTATGGTGATGGATTGATGTGTTGGTCCTGAGATGGTCTTCAGCTGCTTGTTTCATCCCCTTAACTGGGAAGACAAATCCTCAGTGTGAACTGTCGTCAAGTTGATGTTCTTAATGTATATCGTATCTAGTAATCTGTCCAGAGGGAATGTGTGAAGGACTTCAAAACCTCACCTTTGAAATCTATGTATAAATGATATACATCCATACTTTGCTGCATCGGAAGGAATTTCAACACTCACAAAAAATGTAGAATTGCCGAATCATGGATGTAATGGATGGCATGCTAAGGTTTTTCTTTCGTAAAACTTCATGTAATGTGATCAGGGAAATTTTCTTGCAAGCATGTAATCAAGGTTCATTGACGGTAGCAAAAGGAAAATTAGCAGTGAGACAGATGCATCCACAATCGTGAGTTTTGGTTCATGTGGACTCGGGATAAGGTCTGTTATCTTACTTCGCAAGGACCCGAAAAGGGAAAGAAGTGAAAACACAGGTGATCAGCTTTGGGTGGTGAATCCACACAGAACTTGTCAAACCAACCATCTAATTCTCAAAGAGAGTAGCTCATCAGTCTGCACAAACACATGCTCTTTGAACATGTTCATATGCGCTCGGATCTCTTTAGAGTTTGGTTTCGTTTTGGGTTATGGTGGCCCTCATAAAGTCTACTGATTTCAAAAGAATACGTATGGAGTCATCCTCTTGAAATGGTTTTGCTGTCAATACAGAGAAATTGAAAAGCCGAACAATAGTCAAGTTCCAAGAAGATCTCCGTTTTTCAAAACATAACTATTGCCAAATTTGGCAAACCAAAATCATCAATTTGATAGACTAAAGTACTTCTAACTTGATACATTTTCGACGAGTACTTTCACATGTTAAATTGGTCGTTTCCTTTTGAAATCATGTAAGATTATGTATCAGAAGAGAAGAAAAGATCATGGTGGTGGGTTGCTGTGCTAGTCTCCCCCGAGGAATAGTCGAGGTGCGTGCAAGCTGGCTCGAACACCTCGGTTGCCAAAAAAAAAAAAAAAAGATCATTTAGAGTCAGATATGTTAATTAACAACCACGGAGACGACCGGTTACGATGTGCATATTAGGTTTCAACCATGACAGAGTGCAAAGGAATCTTTTTTTTTGGTAAGGAGTGCAAAGAAATCTTAATCTTGACAAATTCAAATAATTGGCTTAGTGGGGCATAAAGGTTAGAGCTTTCTAGTGTTGATTTGACTATGGTTTTGCAGGTTTCCAAATTGTTGTGTTTGATATCATTTGAAAACTTTACCAAATGAAACCCAAGACCACTATAAATGCCTGGCTGACTAGCATTGTTTGTATGGATTTCTCACCACACTTCGCTTAAGGTATATCGGTTCCTAAGTGGATTGGTTTCAAAAGAAGAACTTGGAACTGATTATAGGTCTCGGTTCCAATTTTTTTGGAACCAATACTTTTCTCTTATTAAAATAACCGATTCTTCTTACTTAAATTTATTATATCTAGCCTAAAACACTAAAATGAAATACATCATAGAAAGTGAAACAATACAAGACGGGTGGAAGAATTGCAAAAATTGATTAAACTTGTCCATAATGTGCCGAAAATGAGCTCAAATGCCTATGGCCCTGCGTAGTCAGGTTTCTAGGTTGAACCAGACGTTCCTAAGCCTAGGCCGGAACCCGGAACAGAATCAATGTAAGGCCAAATTCTAGCTTTCTGAAACAGAGAACTTGACTGGCTCTCCCTGGAATTGGCCCAGAATTAGACCGACAGCGCCTTGCTTCCCAGATCGAACCAAACCGGTGCTCAACCCCTAGTAATGATCTTCTTGCGTTTTGGGTTAGAGAATCTGCCATACATTATTGGCGGAATAAAGCTAAATGAATAATTTGCCATGGAATATCGTACTTTTTATGGCTTTGTTTGATACTTTATTCATGGGAAATTTACTGCACAAGACTTGATGAATAAACTGATCGTCTGTTGGCATATCTTTTTCTCCAAAGTTGTTAGAAAAGAAAGTACTTTATCTGAGTGGCCCTACTAAAAAGGCCAAATAGAATTCGAATGAAACTAAAGAAGGTCGACTTAAGCTAATGGAAATCACAGAACATGGAAGCATATGATGCCAATGCTTTTGTCACCTTCAAGACCTGCACAGAAGCACACTGAAGCAAAGAGATGGATATGATGCTGATACGAGAGAGAGTTGGTCTCCACAGTCTGCCATTTCACCATTTGAATGTCGCAAAAGTTGGTGATGAATGAATGAAACTTGCAATGATTATAGTACAAATTGGTGGAGTTAAATGACAGCCAGAATTTCCGGCCAGACATGCTTATATATTCATGGTCTTTGGCGTATCGCTGACATGATGCATCGATTTGCTGATCTTCTTCTTGAACGCGAGGTTATTGTAATCTAGCTGTGATTCAACAGAGTCAGTCAATTACAATAAGGATTTGCGAAAAAGCACATTCTCTGGACAGTGATCTGTCGGCTAAATTGCATCACATACCTACTGAATCAGTGACACTACAGATGGAAAGTACTTACAAAAGCTGACTATGAAAAACTTAAGTAACCATGAACATGTGATAACTTCGCGTAAGGAAAAGACACGGTACCTGATCACAGCATCGCCAAATCTATTTAATAACGTCAGTCTATTATTGTGTTGAGACAGGGTCGATTACAATATAAAAAGACTTCCTGGGTCTCCCTCTAGCAACTAAACTATGATTGGTTTGGTCTACTGAACTGAACTTAGACCATACTTTCTCTGGCCCTCGCATAGTAAATTCCACTTGGACACTTCTGTCTTTTTCCATTTATTCCACAGCTCTTTTTTTTTGGCCAACAATTCCCCACTCTTTTACTCCATTAGAATCTGGCATTCATATCTCTCTCTTTATAAATAGACCTCATGCTGTTTGTTCTCTCTGCACTTACACACTAAGCCACACTCATTGCTTCCTCATTCCCTCAGTGTCCCAGCTTCTCTTAAACTACCCTTCAACTCAATCAATGGCCAGTGTTCAGGTACATAAGTTCACAGCTTTATCTTTACTACTGTAGGAACCTTTGGAGTCCAGTTTTCATGGATGAAATCCAGCTCACTGCACTTTTGTTTTTCCTTTATTCATTGACGCAATCAGCACACTCCTTCTTGACCTAGTCAGAATTAACTATATGCATTCAATTATGTGTTGTAAAATAGCTTTTATGCTGAGATGCACACAAGCATCTATTCAGATGCCTAATATTCAAGACTATTTAATCCGCTGCCATAGCAAAATGAGGGAAAAAAGGCTTATTAGGTCCACAGTCAACGCATACATAAAGAAAGCCAATCCGTGGGCACGCATAATGATACTACTTCAAGAAGAGCACTAGATAGTTATGTAAACTTAATTGAAATCATGAACAAGCATATATTTTTTTTTTATCAATAGTTTCCTTTTAAGGTCACCAAATGACAAGCGTGAAGAAATAGTGTTTGATGGGGTTCAGAGAATTGCAAACCAACCTTAGCCCTTTATGGTGAATCAAATCGCTGAAACCGAAAGCATCCACTGCATCAATCTGCATCGGGGTCATCTTTGCTTTATCACGTGGTATCCTTCATCATGTGCTGGTCACCACTGTAGCTGTCAGTTAAAAACATAACAGATCAGTTAGCCTTCCGCTTGCAAATACTCAATTCTTGATCTTTACTTCGTGTTGAGACAGAACATAACATGTACGATCAAAATCAAATAGATAAAAGAACACCAGAGGCAAATGAATTGCTTTCCCAGGTTTCAGGATCTCCAACCGAATTTGAAGAAATCGAAGCAGCTGACGAAACAAAGGCTGAAGAGACAATTGCAGAATTGGAACCAGCCACTGATCATGATGGCGAAGTTCCTTCAGAGGAAGCCATAGAGGAAGCCGATGAGGTTGAAGCCGAAGAGCCACCAGAGGAAGAAACCAAAGAAACTAATGTTGAAGTCACTGAAGAACCAGCTGCATCACCGGAAGAAGATGAGAATCCCCTCGAAGAAGAGGAAGAATAAATCTTTTGCGTGAGATAAGTGCTTGGAATTCTCCATTATACCCTATGTTTCCTTGTCTTTCTTATCATTTGCATGTCAAACTTGGTGAGAGTGAGACTATTATTGTTCTGTTTTAGTTGAATGGATGTAATCTCTAAGGTTTGTTGTATCATTTATTAACATGATCCTTTTTCCTCGTTGTCATTCTCCAAGGTTATGTTTTTCAATATACCATTGTGCTATTTCTATGTGATCTCTATAGTTTTACCATATTTCTATGCTAAAATTAAGGCCAACTGAAAGAAACAAAAATCAAACACACACAAACACCTTGAAAAAATGAAAATTTGCAAAGAAGTCTGGGTTTCTCCAAGCTTTGCAGCTTCATCAACTGAGGTTTATTTAATTGGCAAAGAACGCGCACACTCAAACCCACGAACAAAAAGGGATAAACACACAGTTAAGCACATACTCACAGAGAGAGAGAGAGAGAGAGAGAGAGAGAGAGAGAGAGAGAGAGAGAGAGAGAGAGAGAGAGAGATCATAACCCGTCCATTTTCCATGTGTTACTAGTTACCATTCCTGTGTATACTTTTTTTGTTACTGTCAACGTCAACTTCTAATTCATTCGATCCTAAAGCTACTGGCCGCATGCTCTTGAGTGATAAACTTGAGACACTCTCGAATTACATCCAGCAAAGGATACAGTGGAAGCAAGAAGATGAAAAAGCACGTCTGGGATGTCGATAACAGACCGGACAGCTGCAGAGACCTGGAGATTTGAAGCCGAGAAATCAAACCGCGAAAAACCTCTGCTGGTAGATAGTTTAAGGATGTCCAAAAGAAAAGAAGAGCCTTTTTCTGCCCCACTGATATCTTGCTCGCCGCCTATGGAAAAAATTAAGAGAAAATCGTGATGACAGGGGGAACAATATGTGAAACCGGCTAGTATTCTACATTCTTTATGTTCAACACAGGCACAACATACACAATGAGAAGGTTCAGCTACTTATGCATATGCTCATATTTCAGTTTCCAGATTCCTTTACTTTCAAGGGTACAATACTATTAAATCACACTGCAATTGAATTACTAAAATCACATCATCCTCAACTGCTATTAACTTGCTGAACTTCAACTAATTATTTTCTCGTTATGAAATGAAACCATACAGATACTGTCACTTCTTCGAATGCTTTAAGCAACAAGCAAATTGCTGAAAATCATATCATATGCACCAGTACGAATTCATCCAAGTATTATCTATCTTAAATCAGGGAATTAAATGCTCAATTTTCCGTCAAAAGTTCATAGAGGTGTCTCAGCAAGAAAGCACTCATACAAGTCATGCTGTAGAGCCCAAAACATTCCCAAATCGTGAGAGTTTTTCTCCTTAAAGACTTCAATGGTTCAATCAGGAGACAAGTATAGCCTTTAATGCCTTCATTCTCGGAGATATACAAAGACATCAAGTTCTGCAAAGGAAGAACTTGCACAATGTTATCTCAATTATGTTCTGTTTTAGCTCCATGAGCTAATAAGAAGCCAAGATTTTTGTGGAAAATCTGTTGAAAACAGAAGCCAAATTCCTCTAAAAACACCGGTATGTACCAAGGGACACTAAGCACTGAAAATTACTGGGGCAAATGTCAGAATGAAAATTTCCTTGAAGCAAGAAAAAAAATCATTCCCTCATCATCTAGTAAGATCATATACATCCAGTGAGAACCGTTGAAGCAACAAGAGAAGCATATCAGAGGATCACATACAAGCGAGGCCATGATCACATTGTCTATGTGCTCCATGAGGTTTCTACAGAGTAGATATATAGAAATTCATCAGAAAATTATTTCTGATTTATCAGTTGCAAGCAGTGCAATTAATAGACTACATCCAGTTATAGCATAATCACATTAAAAACCAACTTTACCACTTCTCCAGCGAATGCAAGAAAGATTGAAATTGTATGTAAAAATCGTTTCCCCTAGCTTTCATGGAAGCAACAGTAAGGGCCAAGATTGCTACGTGATGGCCACCGGGTAACGTAATAGTAAATTACTAGTTTTATTGCCATAGAGCGACATAATTACCTAGAACTGATGTATCTTATTTGTACTCTTATAGAATCCATGCATAGCTACTCTAACAGGCAAGATTGCTCCGAGACAGAGGAGATCTTATCAAATCAGTAGTTTACATAATAAATAAAGACTTGCTGCAGCAAAAGTTAGATGTTTCTTCCCGAATCATGGTTTAGAGAAAAAAGAAAAGAGATCCCTTTAAGAGCCTTGAGCAGTGGTTATGCTGAAAATATATAGAACCGTTTAAAATCTTACGTGTGTCGTTGAGATTCAATTCATTGCACTTAAGTAAACGATATGCTCTAGTCTATTAAAAACTTCCAAGAATCGTTGAAGGTTGATTCATATTAAATGTGACAAACTCGGAAAATTTTTATGTGCTTTTGCTTTCAGCAATATATTAACTAATGCCTACCGTTTGTGTCTTTCCAACTACAAATGCCGTTTACGTCGACTGAGACAAAAGTTTTGACACAAGTAATTTACATTTTATGAAAGTGCTAGGATGGACGGAAATCTTTGTGTGTAAAAGAAAATGAAGAAATTGGATTCAGTTGGCAGATTATTATCTCATTAACTGAAATGAGCTTTGCAACTCATCAAACAAAAAGGTTTCATGTATGTAACATTACTAATTTTAGCATGATACAGTAGGAAATCGTTGATAATGACAAGACATATAGAAAAGAACTGCACGTAATTGATAGTCAATCCACAATCTGGTGCCGAGAATCCAGGGATAGTTTCTGAGATCGGTTTTTATAAAGAAAATTCATGGTCACGTAAGAGACAAACGAAGGTGTTGTCTCTTTTAGCAGGGTAAAGGGTGGCAAAAGGTAGCGTAAGATGAGTTAGAAAGATGTTTTTTCTTAGTTATTTCACCTCTGTGGAATATCTTTCTACAAAAGGGGAAAAAACCATGATGAGATTCTATTGAAAGGGCTATTGAACAGTTACTTTAGGCGAAGTTTGCAATTCGATATAAGTATTTTTAACAAGAGTCAACCACACAATTCAATGTGTTTGAGAAAATAGATGTGATTCTACATTTTCAGAATAATATATAGAAGTGTTAATGGAGGGACTTTTGTAAAGGAGAATCGAACTTCTTAAGCTGTATGGCAAAGCACTGTCTGTTACTGAAGTCATTAACCATGGAAAGCACGGTTTTGTCCTGTGAATTCTTGACAACGTGGTACACGCCGTAGTAAGTTGGCCATTCTGTGGGACAATCGGCGTCGTTGGGCTGCAAGTTTGAGATCAGCTGGAACTTCAGGTCGTCGATATCCATGGAGGATTAGAAGGAGAGAAGGCGGTGAGAGCTTGAAGATTGATCTTTGTCAGTAACCCAGCAATGGCGATAATGGGGGAGAGAGAGAGAGAGAGAGAGAGAGAGTAATGGTTTATGAAGATGAAGAAGACAAAGGAATTGGTTGAAACTTGAAGAAGAAGCGGAGAGAGGGAGAGACAGGGATGTTGCATGCAAAACGTGACTCAGAAAAAGAAAATCAAATTCATTTAACTCCTTTTTCTTCTTATTTCTTTGCCTTTCTTTACTCTTATATATATTTTCCAGTATTGGTGACAGTGTGTCAAAGGTGAGATTTTACTTGCCACGTATTTTCAAAGGTGACATAATTGTCTTTTTTCTGTTTATTATTTAAGGACTTGAAATCTTGCAAATTCAAAATTATCCGGGAAGATATTAAATGAGCTTTTATTAATTAATTCGTCCTTTTTTTTTTTACATAAGTAGTGTTAAAAAAGTGTCAAAGACTATTCACGTGGATAGTTTAGTGTTGAAATTTCACTTGTCATGTATTTTCGGTGGCGGCATAATTGCAATATGTCCTTTTCTGTTCATTTTTTTTTATGACTTGATAAACTTGAAAAAATGGTTTTCTATAATTAGAGTTTCCAAGTATCCAAGAATGTTAACATGGACAATGCATTCACTTGTGATATATTTTCATAGCTAACCTATTTATCATTCTCTAGTTATATTTTCTTTAATAACTTGATAAATTTGGGTTAACGTTGAAAACCTGTCATGTAGTTAAGATTTTACTCAGCATGTATTTTTAAAGGTGACATATTTGCAACTTGTCCTTTCCTATTTGTTATCTAAGGACCTGAAATCTCGCAAATTCAAATTATTTTGGGAAGATATTAATTGAGATGCTGAGCACTTGTCCTGTACTTTATAACTAACTAGCCTACAATATCTTTCTCTGATTATATATTCTTTAATAACTTGATAAATGTGGGTTAATATTGAAAACTTACCATATATTTGAGATTTTGCTTACCATGTATTTTGAAAGTGGACATTATTGCAACTTATCTTTTCGATTTATTATTTAAGGACCTGAAATCTCGCAAATTCAAAATTTCTTGAGAAGATATTAATTGGGGCTTTACTAATTAATTTGCCCTGTTTGTTTTTACATAAGTAGTGTTAAAAAAGTGTCAAAGACTGTTCACGTGAACAATGCATTGCAGAGATTTCATTTATCATGTACTTTCGTAGGTACCATAATTGCAATATATCTTTTTCAATTCACTTTTAGTGTCTTGATAAACTTGGAAAAATGTTTTCCTATAATTAGAGTTACCAAGTGTCAAAATATTAATATGGGCAATGCAGTGCTGACCGCTGAGATTGTACTCGTCATGTATTTTTATAGCTAGCATATATATCTTTCTCTAATTATATATTCCTTAATGACTTTATAAATCTGGGTTAATGTTGAAAACTTGTCATGTAGTTGACATTTTACTTGCCATGTATTTTCAAAGTTGACATAATTGTAACTTGTCTTTTTCTATTTATCATTGAAGGACCTAAATCTTGTAAATTCAAAATCTTTTGGGAACATATTAAATGGCTTTACTAGTAAATTTTCCTTTTTTAAGTAAAAAATGATAACAAGTGTCAAAGGCCGTTCACGTGGGCAACATAGTGTCGAGATTTAACTTATGATTTTCATAATTAGTATAATTGCAAAATATCCTTTTCCTTTCTTTTTTAATGAATTGATAAACTTGGAAAAATGTTAAAGAATGTTAATGTGGGCAATGCATATCTGAGATTTCACTTGCCTTGTATTTCCATAG